TTTAGCCAAAACTTGTTTGACTATTACAAAACAAACTAAAAAGCCTCCATAAAGTATGGAGTGGAGTTGAATGACTTGGTGTAGTTAAGAGGATCCTGGGTTCAATTCCTGTCACAGTAACAAGATTTTTTTCTCATGACCAAAACAATTCCATTGCTAAAGCTTCAAAACGAGACTAAAACCTGGTTTCCTTAAAATCGCAACACTGTTGCTACAATTGCAATGCAACTGTTGTACTGCAGTCCCCAACACAATCTGGAAGACTCCTGCTTGGACTGACCAATCAGCATCGCCAAAAGCTGTCAGCAATAATGTGTAGCGATTGTATGGAAACCAAGCTTCAGTTTATGTATGTCAGCAGTGTTTATGTTTGTTTTATGAAGGGATATGCCACTTAGGAAAGTAATTAAGTTCACTGTTTGGCATCCTTGGCTTTCGATCAAAAACCACTTAACAAGTGAAATAAAATAAAAAGTGTCTTTTTATCAATAATGCACTATTAACAAAGATTGCTAATTAATATATAGTATATTATTATATTTATTTATTTTTGATATTTATTTAACATAAGCATCTATCTAAACTTGGCTAAACTACAGAACAAATACCACCAAACCATTCTTCCTGCTGTAATCCATCTAAAGCATTTTTGTAACATTCCTGAAATTAAAAAAGATCTGATGTTTTCTACCATTTGGTCTGAGAATGTGAGAGCAAGTATCGTGCCAAATTAATAGTGAATAAATGCACAACGTCAGCCTTCGACACAGAGGTGTATCTACGGGAGAGCGCAGAGGACATATGTCCCCCCCACCCCTGAAAAACTTGCATCATCCAGTCACCCCTCCATGAAAATGTTCAAAGCACAAAAATCACCCTCAAGTAGATAAAAATCTTATTTTGTGAGTTAGGCACCCCCCTCCCCCACTACACCTTTGGGACCTCATCAGTCCCCAACCCCCATTCAAGACTTCTAGATACGCCCCTGCTTCGACATCCAGAAAATCAAGTGCCTACTCAAAGAATGTGCTATCAATAATGGGTTCTGTTTTTAATCCTAACGATCTCCTCAAAAACCTAACTAAAGTGACCTTTATTCTAGTATAATTTCTCGTAGTAAACCAGTAAACATTTACGTACTTGCAACATTTTGAGCGCTTTCAGCGACACTTCATCAGGCAATGAACCAAATAACGAATTATAACAATATTAATTCATATCCAAACAAGATAAAATTATTCTAACATTGAAGAGACCTTGTCAAATGTTGAACGATCAATATTATTACTCTTTGGTCTTAAACATGGATTAGCTACTGTGCCAAAGCAGTCTGATATCACTGTTCAAGCAGAATGTATATTGGAACAGTTATATTTAACAAAGACGCTTTACCTAGATCCTTCAAAAAACGTGAAAATGTTAAGAATGCTACACAGACGATGGCCTGTAATCTCTTGGATTTCGACTTTTAACAAATTGCTACGGATGCTAAGCATACAAGTACTCAAAAGCTCTAAAAAAGAAATATGATATTCTGAAACCAGAAAAGGCAAATGTTGTTGTGTTATTGTTAACAAAGATGATTGTTTATTCGCTGACTGGTTTATTATAAAAATTCAAAAATAGGCGGATTCAAGGAGGTGTCCAGCCGGTCCGGGCCTCCCTAATTTTTGGAAAATTTTAAAGAAAAAAATAAATTATATACAAATTTATGTATGATCATTTCATTTTTGGTCATCTGGAGGTGACAAAGCCATACACTAGACCCTCCATCTATAAAAGCCCCTTCCTGAGCCCCCTATATTTGGAATAGGGATCCACTACATAAATGTCGTTACCTAATTAACTTCACACTTTGCAAATGAATGAAACCAGTATTAACACCCACAAGCCTTAGGCCTCTGGACATGGGAATGTTGATACAATTCTTCCATTCCAATCATTTGCTATTACTACCGGAGCATCCTATTATTCAGCCACTAATAAATTTCTAGCTTAATCTATTTTCCTCTCATATCAATGAAGGACATACATACAGTACCAATAGATTCTTTGGATACTGCTTGTATCCAGCATGTTTATTTTGATGTTATTTCCTTTAGAAATGTATCCCAATTTAATTACTGAAGTAACAGAATGTTAAGTAAAATGTTAAAGAACACTACTAAGATATCTTGATGGTATTTCTATGGGCCCCTCTTTTTAAATTCATTTCACCATCAAATTAATTTCAGTATACTGAATCACTTCATAAGAATGATATAAACTTTTTCTTATCTCAAATGTAAGTAATTGTATTAAGGACATCTATCATAAAGCCATACTGGACAATATCTATATTTTAGATACCGGTTGTTCAAATCAACTAAGAAAATATAGAACATCCAAGAATACAAGTAGTGTCATACAGTAGTTTACCCATGTTGAAACTTCATGTCTACAGTAAACAGTGTAAAAAAACTAGCAGATGTTGAATTGTAATGATGGAAAAAAAATCTTTCAACAGGCCCTAATAGCATTAATTTTTACCATGTAATTCAATGCATCTTTTTCAATGCACAACTAACATTAACTGACCAATTATTTTTTGGGTCGTGATGGACATTAGAAGCCAAAGAAGCCAATGTTTACTGAAAAATTTATCTGAAATCATACTTTATAAAAGTGAATCACCTTCTTATTTCACCTAGGACTTTTAAGGCCTAGCCTAGGTCTACTGTAGGTTACAGCCTGACAATTATTGCTTATCAATGGCCTAGCCAAATTTAGGTGTCAAAACAAGCCTCTTGGCTATAGGAACTATATTTTCCTAATTTTCCCTGTGCACTCTCCAATATGCGCAAGTGGGTATTTTTGTGAGAAAAAATTAACAATAATAATTGATATCATTATTTTTTTAAGGATTTTGATTTAATAATAAAGTAATAATGCACATGACCTACATTAAAATTTTATAGCTAATTTGTGGGCGATGAAAAGACAATTAACAGACCCTAATAACAGTTTAGCGAACATGAAACCTCTTTAAATTAGTAAGGCATGTAGGCTTATTACAAACAAGCTTAGAGAAATGAAGCATTTCATCAATAAACCTCCTTTTTACTCTGCAGAATTCTCCTCTATCGATTGATAAATTTTCCTTCAAGAAACCAAAGCCATAAATTAGTATAGGAAATGGTGATCAATATTGTTACAAACAGACAAGCCTGTCTTTTAAAGTGAGTGGGAACTTAATATAGGCCTATGATGACATGCGACATGTTAACAAAACTAGTATGAAATGTGCATTGCTAACCGAGATATCCTAATCATTAATTGGTATTATGTAATAGATGTTTTCAAGTAAGTTTAGGGCTAATTTGATACAACGAATCTTCTGCCTCAACCATCATAATTCTTTCGTGTAATATATGAATTTACAAGCTTTATCCTTTTGTTATCCTATACTGTAATTCACAGGTGGGCAACGTGTAACCCGACAGCGATTTTTTGCTTTTTCAAAAGGTGGATACATTTTTGGTACTACTTATGGTGTCAGATACTACGCGATATTACCCGTGTCCCACAATTGAAATTTTATTATTAGTAGACTGTCTACCTATGAAATCAATTAAACAATCCTCCTGGACCACTTTCGAGACATTTTGAACGACACCCAACCACGTCCACCTCAGGCCACCCTAGCATATTTACCCCCCTAAAAATTTATATTGCCCCTCTATTGCCCACCCCCCGCCTAGTTTTCAGAAGCTCGCACTGCCACTGGCCACTTATACGGTATCTTGGTTTAGCCTTACATTTTTGTTAAATACCTAGCCGAAATTCAGTACAAAAAACGTGTTTCATAAGAAATTCACGTAAATTCAATTAATAAATGTCGTTTTATCAATCACCGTTCATAAAAAACAGTACTGAACGCGCCCTGCACTAGCCGACCAATGACCTCCCTGAGTTCACAGATGCTTGCACGCATAGGCGGTGTAAGCATCTGCAGTTAGGCTTGCATTGAAGGCGGTGCTTCACGATGATATGCGATTGAACAAGAAACTGTTCCCCATGGGTTCGACACTTCGGTATTTATTGGTTTGAATAAAACATACATAGTAAATATTTTTTGAGCGTTGCGCAATCTTTGCTTATTTTTCATTAAAGCGTGGCGGTAATTTTTTTTTTGCCCAAGCGTGGCGATCCTGCCAAGCTTAAGTATGGCTGGCGAGACCCCTTACCAATTTTGCCAGCTATATCAAATTATATTAAAAGAGAAACTATAATTAGAGTAGAGACAGCAAGCCGCAAACGGTGCAACAAATGCTTCCACAAATACATAATTATTTGCATATAAGAAAGAATTTTTTTAAATGAAGGTGTGTGCATCCACCAGGACTTATTGAGAGCAGCTTAACTCAGTCGGCTAAACTGGTGATAGCCACTGTGTGTGCTCAACTGTGGAAATCTCTTGATCCTCCTTTCAATTCCGATCACTGCTCTCCTTTATTGCAGCTGGGGAGTTGCAAGTTACGATAGTTCACCATTTAAGCTGTTGGTCCTGTGTGCATTATGGCCCATGTTGACATTCAAAAATGCATTACACTCTTCAAAAAAGAGTAGTGAATTGTCTACCGGTGTACCACCAGAAGAAACCCACTGGAAGTAAGTCTTCTTTCATGGGTTAGCCTTGGTGTTTACACCGAATAAATCTGTCCATCCATCCCAGCCAACACTTTCTGAATGTTTAGATTATCAACAGGTATAGAATATTTTTATATGGATTTTTATGTGAAGGCTGATTTCCGTCTCAAATATTGTTCTTTGAACAGCTGTATGTCTAAACTCCTGTAACTTCATAATGAAATGTTGGATTTGAATGATTATTTTACCATTTCATAGCTCTCATTTTACTGTTTAACCCTGTATTAATAACTAAAAATTTATTTTTTTACGAGGAGTGACTGGTTTGTTTGGTCCCTACCACATATTATAAAAGTTTAAAAGCGGTTTACCTCAGTGGATAATGCAGACACTTTCCCATCCCCTTCGGGAGGTACGTATTCTTCAAATATAGCACCTAAAACAGAAAAAAAATAGAAAAGATCAAATAAATAACAGTGTGTATAGTGGAAGTTTGAGCAAGTACTCATTTCATATACTCATTATACACAAAATAAACAATACAAAATTAATTATTGAAACAGCAAACTGAAAGTAGCAAAATTACTCTGGCCCTCTCAAAAACAAACAAAAACAACACTGGTCTTTCTTGGGGACAATTACATCATCATCAAATACGTTGAACATATTCCGTCACAAGTAAGACAGGGCTGATCCATACTCTGTACATATATTTTGAGATTTAAGTGTGTTTGGCTATTTAGTGTTTCTTTGGGTCTTCCTCTGGGTCCTTTTTCAATTTTCTCTGAAGGCAATCTTCAATGAGTTGTTACTTGGCATAAAGACTTACCTACATAAATTTACAGTCAATTACTTTAAAATTCAATGAACTTAATTTAGCCCAGATAAAAAATAATCATCTGGACATTACAATACAATGAGCACCTGAGAGGACCCCACCTGAGACAAGGTACAAGAGTTTGTCTTGAGGATAGCATCTTTATAAAGCATTAGCAAACAGTTATGAAATGTTCCCATGTTCAATTTTCAAGTTTCAATTTTACTAAATTTCCAATCAACAATATTCATTCTAAAAGGAATTGCTTCATATTACTTGTCATCAAAATTCATTTTTACTGACGATAGTGATAAAAATGTACCACGCAGTCAAAGTAATAATACTGTATCTTAATTTTACCCAAATGTAATATTTCTCAAGGTAAAAGAACAACCAAATTATGGAATTCTCCCCAATCATACAAAAACTGATCTTTATGCTATGTCAACATAGGGTATTGCTAAACCCAGCACAACCTCCTACAAACCCGCCTTACATCATGCAAACCAGATATGATAACTATAATGTAATATAGAATATACCAAATGATTAAATTTTAAAAAAGCAATATATATGTTGTTTATTGTTATCCATTTTTGGGGAAAAAAAGTTTATTTATGTAGGTCTATTTTTGTTTTTAACTAAACCACTTTGGAAATCAGTACGTTTGTATTGAAAATCTATATCAGGATACACAAAGAATGCCTTAAATTTATATAATTCGTAAGAAACATACATATCTTATTTTTGAAGATTTCAAGGAAGCAGCGGGCATAATAAAAATAAAAACTTTTATTTTTTTCTAAAATTTCCATTTTCTTGTGGCAGCGGGTACGCTAATTGGTAAAAAAGAAATCTTAGTTCTTATAGTAGTATATAATATAAAGCATGGGTTTGTTTAAAATATTGTATAATATAAAGTTCAGTGGAAACATGTTATATCGTCATTGCGGACTTATAAAATCCGCATACGCCTTAAAACTAAAAGAAAATGCATACGTTTAGAGTCCGTACTGAGCCCAAAAAATCAGCAATGAAAATATAACGTGTTTGGAGTTGAATAGCTCAGTGTTGAAGATGCTTGCCTTCTGACCCCAAGGTCCTTGGTTCAATTCCTGTAACAGCAGGACGACTAAAAGCAATTGCACTCCCTAAGCCTCAATAGAGACTTAGTTTATTAAGCATCATTCTCATCCTGTAAGTGGCAAGTGTACTTGCTGTTGGATGTGAAGGAAAAAAAATAAAAATATCCTTGTCTGCCGATTGTGTAGGGTTCTCGGTGTAGAAAAAAAAATTATAAATTGTAATTGGGTCTAATAGAAAGCTTCTATACTAATGACCTGCTGTGTAGAGATGTTATAAGTCCTCATGAGAATTGTATGTGTGAGAAAGAATAAGTTTAGTGTTTTTTTTCCAATATTTTACATTACCCCGGTATGTAATTGTGTCAGTTTAACAGGCTATGGTGTTAAAGGGATTTTCTTAAGATAAATTACAGCAATTTAAACACTTCAAAATAATAATTTTGCAATTAGTAGAGCTCCGCATAGGTTAGATTTAATGCTTGAAAAAATTTCCTGAGGGCCTGCAAGGCCCGAAAGAAATTTCCGCTCCTGCAGTACGCGTTTAATTAACTGTACTGCTGATGTGTAGTTAATTAAACGCATACTGCAGGAGCGTTTAATTAACTACACATCAGCAATACAGTACGGATACAATAGTTATTCATTGTATCCGTACTGTACTGCTGATGTGTAGTTAATTAAACGCTCCTGCAGTACACGTTTAACTAACTACACATCAGCAGTACAGTACGGATACAATGAATAACTATTGTCATTACTACTGACAGGGCCATCGTTCAATTAAATCAGAGCCCAAAATATAGCATCATATTCAATACGTCATCTTTCATCATGACAACCTAAACTTTAATTTCAATTATTTGTTATATACTAGGCCAAATTCTAAATTAATATAGACTTTATAAGATAATACATACTGATTAATAATAGCTGAGATTTGATACACATTTCAGACTTAATAGTCGTTTTTAGTATATCTTACTGAATATTTATTGTCTACCAAATGAAATATGAATTATATGCATCTTTAGAAATACAATTTCTACAATATTAATCTTGTTTTTATATAGATAAATGTTCGATAAATTCTATCTTTCATAAAAAAATTTAAAAAAAAACGAAATTCAGCACGTCTATTTTCATTCTAATTAATGGCGTTTGTAAACGTGCATGGACGTCATCGTCGAATCCCAGGACTTCCGACGGTAAAGCTGGCCTGCCTGCCTAGGTCCCAGGCCAACCAATAATAATTAACAAAATGTATTTTTTTTTAAATATAGGCCTATGGTGCATCCTGTACATGCACTTCAACTTTTACAACAAAAGCCTAGGCCTAGTACCTGTAGTACGTCCTACTGTACTTAGGCCTAGGCCTACACTACCGTAGTTTGTTGTCCTGGGGTGTAATTCTGTCTCTAAATGAACGAGGAGCGAACCTAGCTAGTCAACATCTAGGATAGGCTAATTGATTTTGAAATCAATAACCCACCTTAAAGGACTATCTGTCGTTTTCCTCCTTGCAACAGCGGACGAAAAAAAAAATCAGTTATTCTCTACGACGTTTTATGATTCTTTATCACTAAAATTAACAAACACTCATTTTAATGCACTCCATTCTGTAGTGTGTGTCTGCTATTGAAAACAAACTTCCTAGCCTAATTTTCTTGTGACTGGCTATGATGACTGAGATGGATCATGTTGATTTATTAATATTAATAATATTTTGTTTGGGATGGAAAAAGAAGAGAGTCAATTTCCCCAAAATGCTCCATCAGCACATAGCTAAGTGTGCACTATGGACAGTATCGACAATCGACAATCAGGTGATTAAGTCGCAAAACTTTATCTGCATTTGGTGGATTAAGTCGCAAAACTTTAGCTTCGTTTGGTGGCACCATATACTCTAGGTAGACGGCGACCAGTTTCGTTACCGGTTGGTACATTTCTTACAAACATTCAGCCAAAGGCCAGTGAAAGTTGAGATGGCAGCTGGGTTTTTATCGATGTTTGCCATCCTTATGTGCCATCGTAAAGTCATGGTTTGCTGGAGTTGCGTTCAATTTAAATCTCCGAACTTCTGAAGCTGAGATTTTCTATGAATGTAGGCTTTGTATCGCTGGCTACAATTTAAAAACGGGTAACCAATAATGAATTAGGTGCTAAATTTTGATTTAATGCTGGGTAAGTCAAAAATAGACATTCCGTCCGAGTGGGACTCATTCAAAAATTCGAGGGGGTTCGCTAGAAAACAGGGGGGTTCGCTAGAAAACAGGGGTTCGCCCGAACCATAAAAACCCCCCCCTGGCTACGGGCCTGGTTTACACTTTATTTCAGATGCAGCCTTCATTCAATAGAATATGAAAAAAAAAAAAGGAACCCCATAATTTCAACTACAGTATTAATCTTGACTGTTAAGTAGTTGAATTGGCAGGCTTGTGTTCAGGATAAACTTGCTGTAATTTTTTTGAATCATGATCAAAAAATTTGTGAATTTTAAATTGTGTTTAAAGTGACTAGTACATGAAAATTAATAAATTTCAAGTTATATTTTAAGAACAATAATCAATCAAATATTATCACTGAGCATTCCTATTATTTGCTCAGGTACGACCATACAGTCAAGATTTGAAAAAGTGCGCAATCATTTTTGGGTTGTGCATTAGGTAATTCACTCAATCTCCAAGTAAACCTAAAATTACAAATATCTTCAATAGTTTACAGTTCATTATGATGTTTTTGAGCTTTTTGAAATTTTGAAAAGACTTAAATTGATCTTTTTTTTTTTTCCTTTTTTTCCTTGATGTTTCTTCCAGTTTTCAATTTGTTGTTTTGTATTTTTTGTATTTGCATTCTTGTTTATTAACCCTCCTATAATTGGCGAATTTATTTTGCTGTTGGTTGTGGTTTTAAATAAATAAATAAATAAATAAATTCAGAGAAACCGTTGAATAGAAGTAGGGAAACTGCATTTCTTGGAATAAATACCATAAAAATTGATATTATTTTTAATGTAGTAAAGCTTTAGGTAATTTAGATACACTATTAGCTTTAGTTAGCTTGACATAAGATGTTTGCCTTCAAATTTGTTATGTTACTGTTTGAGAGCCCCTTTAAGTCAACATTGCTGTGAGGGATACCCTCATGAAATATTGTTGAATACATAAATAATAATTCATGGGTTGACATTCTGTAGTGTGATAACACAAGTATTTAAAAAAATAATTAACTCCTGAAGCCTTGTCATTCAAACCTGTAAGTGGTAAGTACACATAATTTTAGAAATTTCAAAGATAATCTTTATATTAACATGAAAATACTAACTACCAAATTTAAAGTTGGTTCAAATACTTGAATTTCAAAAATTAAAAAAATTAAAAGTGATAGGTAGATTGATATTTGTTAAGTCAACAGTTATAAGTAGTTTATTACCAGAATAAGACAGTAAATGATATTGTCCTTCAACCACACAACTTTTAGCCATTGTATTTAAAATTATTTTTATATCATCTTGTAGCAATTATTATCCATACAAGT